CCCTTGCATTGCATCCTAGCAAGTAGGTAGTTTTCAAATTTCAAAATTTTTATTATTTGCTTGATTTGGTCATGTTGTCATCAATCACCAAAAAGGGGGGATTGTAAGAAAAATGGACCCGTGGCCTATTTACTTTGGATTTTGGTGTTTGATGATCAACACAACTAAATTGGACTAATGAATTTGCAAGTGATTGTTTTGTAGTTCAATAGGATGCAAGACGTGACTTGGATGAAGGCAACGTGAAGATCCGATGATCAACACCATAAGCAAGACCTTAGAAGCACAAGAGAAGACCCAAGATATCAAGCAAAGTCCAAGCATGAAGATAGGAACCAAGCCGTACGTAAGATCGCAAAAAAACGAGCTCACAGTAGTGGTCGGACGCTGGTAGCACAGTGACCGGGCGCCCGATCAAGAGGCTTGGCGACAGCAGTGACCGGACGCTGGCAGCAGATCGACCGGACGCAGGACAGCAGAGTCCGGTCGAATACAGAGAGGTTCCAGAGCGGCAAAAATGCGACCGGACGCGTTCGGTGGCATGTGACCGGACGCTGGCAGCGTCCGATCAGTTGTTCGCGGCTCCAACGGTCGGGACGACCAGACACGTCCGGTCAGGACATGATCAGCGTCTAGTCAGTAGCAGAAAAGCGGAATTTCGTCCCCAACGGCTACTTTCTCAGTGGAGCTTATAAATAGACCCCCCAACCGGCCATTTGATTAGTGTGGAGCTGAGAAAACATATCAAGGGTGTTGATACACTATTTTAGTGATCTCCACTTGCATAGTGCTTAGTGATTCATTAGGTGATTAGCGTAGGTGCTTTTACGAAGTACTTAGGTTGATTAGACCACCGCTTATGCGCTTGCTCTAGGTTTAGGCCTAGTGTTTAGTGAGGTTTGTATACCTCTTACCACTCAGTGCTTGCGCGCACCATTGTTGTACATCGGAGGGGCTTGTAGTCTTGCGAGATGACACCAACCGCGTTTGTGGTGTGACCGCCACCGTGTATTGGAGGGAACAAGGCCCGCGGCGTTTCGGACGGAAGCTTGATAGTGAAGACGGCGGGGAGCACCCATGAGAGGCTTGCCGGAAGGCACATCGGAGACCCACTTGCGCGTGGGGAAGGCCCGAGGCTATCCACGGAGTTACCCGACTGGGAGCTTGGCCCTTGCGAGGGATTCCTTGCGAGTTGCTCCAACAAGGACTAGGGGGAAGCTTGAGCGCTTCTCGATACCTCGGTAAAAATATCAGAGTCGTCGACGGGAGTTTGCATATCTCTACTTTGCTCTTTAGCTTCCGCATTTACATTGATTGTATTACTCCTTTTGCGGTAGAGATAGTAACACACTAGCAAAACCGTAGTTGCACTTTTAAATAGTTTATCTTTTGTATAGGTTTTGCTAAGGTTAGAAAAATAGGCCATAGTTTAGAGTTAGAATTTTAAGTTGCCTAATTCACCCCCCCTCTTAGACGTTACGGTCCCCTTCACATTCATATGACTTGTATGAGTAGAAGTAGAGTTAAGAGTGAGGTGGCGGTTCGTCGTTCCTTCGGGTTTGCCCATATTCTTGCTTGTCGATCCGTAGGGTCGGAGTCCTAGGGATATGGGTAGTTTCTTTATACACGGGCGTGGTGCTCGGGTGCACGGGAGCCTTCAGATATGACGGTGCCCCCCGGTTGAGGGGTAGACGGCAGGTGGTGACAGCCATGTCCGTCCCTTGTAATCCTCCATGTTCGGATATTGTGTATGAGTTTTAAAGTCTCTCGTGCTTGCTGGCGGACCAGTGCCCAGAGATCTCCTCGTCCATCTCACACTTAGTTTTAACTCTAATCATGTAATTTGTATGATCATGAACTGTTCTTTGCACGGCTATATTTGACCATGCCGGCTCTACTTAGGAACATTATGTTATTCTTTGTTTTCCTTTTATCCTTGAGGTTGGCCTAGATGTGTGTCCACTGTCCTTGAAATACCATTTTTGCCCCTGTCATGAACTATTGGTTCACTATGCAAGTATGTAATCTTGAGCATATGCCATGCTAGACTCTTATATCTAGCCCTCCTTTGGGAAAATATAAATAACGATACTCAGAGTACTTCTGGGTGAAATGCTACAACGATAGATCCGTGCACTTGCGAATATTTTCTATAACCGTTAAGAACTATCGTAGTGGGTGTTTCTTGGCGACGTCGCTAAGGTTTACTCAATCTTAGTGATGGTGTTAAGAAATACCAACATACATTTCTGGCGCTGTTACCGGAAATGGACTTGAAACCTCCATACTTGGTGATTGCGCTAAGAAATGCCAACACTTTTGCCAGCCATGATGCCTCTAGTTTGAAGCATGGAGTAGAACCTCTGTCTTTTTTCACATATTTTGTGCCCTATAATCCAAAGTGGTCTAGAGACCGTGTTTTAGTTTTTCTCAATTTAATACACGTTATACAGGGAATCACGGCCTCATGGACATGACCTAACAAATCTACATTGGATGCCCTCACCTGGTTATAGGCTCTGTTTGGAACCGCATGGTGCGGTAGCCTAGTCATGGCTCCATGGCCGTGATACAGGGAATCAACAATGTAATTCATTTCTTGATTTTTGTCCTCAGGAGCAGTCATCGGAATCAGAGTGACCAAGAGACATTTGGTAGAATTCTTCGATTTCCGTTGCCACCACTACAAGATAAAGCAGATCCAAACAAGCCCATAGTACACAATTTTTTTGAGAAAGTCCTCCATTTATTCATTGTTCATAGAGAAAGAGCTACAGACGCCGACAGATGGGTTTACAACACAAACATGCCTACCTAGGGGCTCATAAACACAACTTCTCGCCAACATGTGCGCATCACCATTGGAACTGCGCCCCTAGTGAACAATCTCCGCCGAGGCGAAATTCTCCAAAGTCATCTTGACGTCCCTGATCTCCTGTCCATAAGGCCCCATCCCAACTCCACGTATATTCTGACAAGATTCACACAGTCACTTGACAATGTGAAACTCTAGATGCCTAGGTCAGAGGGCAACGACATGCTTTTTCGGCATGCCAAGGCTTCCAGCTGCTCTGGGTCTGTTATCCCTGCCATCACCACAACAGACGCTCCCAAGAACATGCCGTCATCATCCCTTGCCACTGCAGCAGTCGAGCCAACTGCAGACCCCTTTGACAGAGTTGTGTCACACATGGATCTTTGTACAGTCCACTAGAGGCGGGATCGATCCATCGGCTGGGCGAAGCTTGCTTCCTCCTCCCTCCCCTTCCCTTCCTACTACCTCCTTTGGCGTCACCAAATTCAGCTCCGAAATGAACCTGTCGCTGAAACAACGGGCAGACATAGGACTCTGAAAAGACTGATCATGTATGACCTACCTCCTCGCGTATCAGATTGCCCATACGGTTACAACCACTCGTGTCAAGTCTCCCTGTGATAGTGATTGCATTAGTGTTGCCAACCATCCACGAGCCTGATTCTCGCACAAGAACCCCACAAGATCTTCTCTCTGAGTGCTCAAACACACTTAGACATATTGCAGTTCAGGAGTGCGTGTCTCAAGAGTCCTGCATCCTGCAGATACCACAAGCGCTTTGAGGTGCCATGTTCCTGTGGTAGTGTGGTGTAGGATACTGTCCGTAGAGATTGATACAAATACAAATGGAGGGCTGGGATGGTGCAAACGATGATGGTGGGCCGGCAGAAAAAAGAAAGTGAAGAGAAACATGGTCCATGAAGAAAACACACGCGGCCCATGAGAAGAAACACATCTAGAGGAGGAGAGCTCCTGAATCGTGGCGACAAAACCGTTGCCACCCTCGGCGGCTCGGCCTCTTCGTCGGTCGGTATTCCTTCCCTTACCCCGGTCACCTATAGATAATACCGCGGTAGCATTTGTCTAACCTTGCTCTTGCTCGACCCTTGGCCCGCCGCCTGGACTCGTCTCGCCCGCGGCCGATCTCCTCCATCCGCTCGTCGCGCCGCAACCCGGAGAGGAAACTGCGCTCGGTCGAGCACCACCTGGGGCCCAGCGTCCTCGCGACCATCTCCGGCACGGCGTCCGCCCTCTGCAGCCCCGGTGTCCCTGCGACCGTCGCTGCTGTCCTACTTCGCCACTCGCCACTTTGGCCGGCAACGAGCACCACCAGGACACTAGGTATTCCCTCCCCTTGGTCCTCCCTTCCTGCTGTGCGAAGCCGTGCGCCCAAACCTTAACCTAATTCATAGGTAAAACCAAACCCTAACATACCATTCGTAATCGGATCTGAATCTAATTACAGGTGTATATGCATGTATTATGCCTACTAACTTCGATTGCTTTGCAAAAATTATTGGGTGTACATGTGTACACCCATGTCCTTTACTGGGTCCGCCCCTCAAGTCTGAGCCAATTATTTGGGAATTTCTTGCCTGAGGGATGTGCCCTCAAAGATGGATTTTTCACCCTCCTGATAGGAAGGATTCAAGATAGAGTTTGATTATTAGCAGATGCATGTGCTTGACCCTGTTGTGTTTGTTTCTTTGCCCAGCTTTTGTTGGGTTCTGGATTCACTAATTAATTAAATTGAAAATGTGCTATTTTCTCATAGAAACGTCTGTTCTCTGGTTCGGAAATAGTACGCATTACTAAGCATATTGATAACATTATATGTTGACTTTCTAACTCTAGCGTTCTTTTTTTTTTATAAAAAAATCTAGCGTTAGCGGTTAGCCTTGGTACTATGCATCTGTAACAATAAACTATGCCTAAGTTAGAACATTTTTTTTTGGTTCGATGGTATTGGAGTTTGCAGTTCAGAGATTTCATGGGAATACAATACAATGTCCAAAACTTTTTATATATAATATAACATAAGAGTATTGCCCTATCGAGAAAAAAGGGTTATGGTTATTCAGCATCACATCCTGTGCTATTAAGGACATTGTGGTCTGCTATTTAAGTTTGTGTTTATTTGGTGCATTGTTCTGCGTTTTTATTGTTTTACCTCTGCTTCTAGACAATGTCTGGCCACCGAAACAGTCATGGAAAGCGCCACTCTGATTATACTGAAAATGGAGGCGGCAAGAGAAGAAATCCTGGTGATGATACCTATGCCCCTGGTCCTGATGACACTGTGTATCGCTACCTCTGTGCCTCTAGAAAAATTGGGAGTATCATTGGCAGGGGTGGAGAAATTGCAAAGCAGTTGAGGACTGAGACCCAAGCTAAGATCAGGATTGGCGACAGTGTCCCTGGATGTGAGGAGCGAGTTATTACCATATTTAGCTCAAGCAGGAAAACTAATACCATCGATGATACTGAAGATAAGGTTTGCCCTGCTCAGGATGCCCTCTTTAGAGTTCATGAGAGGCTTGCCACTGATGAGAGTCTTGGGAACGAAGACGGCGAAGAAATTTCACCTCAAGTTACTGTTCGCTTGCTTGTGCCATCAGACCAGATTGGATGCATTCTTGGAAAAGGTGGGCAGATCATCCAAGGAATCCGCAGTGAGACTGGTGCACAAATACGCGTACTTAGTAATGATCATATCCCTGCATGTGCCATTAGCGGCGATGAACTTCTCCAGGTTGGTAATTCCTCACATCAATTCCTTGCTTCTTTTTTTTTTTTTATAATCCTGGCGGTATCTTCTTTCTTAAATGTCTACACCATTTATTTATTACTCAAACTTGAAAAGATGTCTGGAATTTTATGTTTTGCTGTCTGTGGCTGTGCTAATCATCTTTACTGATAAGACTTCCAATATTTTTGACACTAGATATCTGGAGACACGGTAGTTGTCAGAAAGGCTCTTCATCAAGTGTCATCTCGCCTCCATGACAACCCATCCAAGTCACAGCATCTTCTTGCATCCAGCTTGACCCAACCTTATCCAGGGAGCACCCACCTTGGTGGTTCCTCTACTGCACCTGTTGTAGGGATCACTCCAGTAATTCCTCCTTATGGAGGCTACAAAGGTGATGCGGCAGGAGATTGGTCCTCTTTATACCAACCACGAAGGGATGAGAGCTCTGCAAAGGAGTTTAGCTTGCGTTTACTTTGTGCTGCTGCAAATGTGGGGGGTGTAATTGGGAAGGGTGGTGGAATTATCAAACAGATCAGGCAGGAATCTGGGGCTTTAATCAAAGTGGCTAGCTCCAATTCGGACCCTGATGATGACTGCATAATTACAGTTTCTGCGAAAGAGGTGATTTCTCTTTTTGATATGCTTATATTATGCCTTCTTGCCTATTCTTAGTTGCTTTTCTTGACCAACCACATCTTTTGTTCCATGCAGTTCTTTGAAGATCCTGTATCTCCAACGATTGATGCTGCAGTTCGTTTGCAGCCTAGATGCAGCGAGAAAAGTGATTCAGAATCAGCTGAGCAGTCATATACAACACGCTTGCTGGTATCAACATCACGTATTGGATGCCTAATTGGCAAAGGTGGTTCAATCATTACTGAGATACGAAGAACATCCAGAGCAAATATACGCATTCTTTCAAAAGAAAATGTTCCAAAGGTAGCAGCAGAAGATGAAGAGATGGTTCAGGTAGCAATTTGGGCTTTCTGATGTTAATTTTTTTGAGGCATTTGCGTGGTTATATGCAATATGCTATAGCAGGTTTTCATTATATCGATTTGCCTGTGCACCAGATCAGTGGAGGCCTTGATGTTGCAAGACATGCTCTTGTGCAAATAGCTACAAGGCTGAAAGCCAATTTCTTTGAAAGAGAGGGCTCTTTATCTGCATTTCCATCTGTGATCCCTTACCATCCTTTGCCTTCTGGTGCTTCGGATGAACCAAAATATCTAAGCAGAGACACTAAGCCTGTTGGGCATTATCTATATTCAAGTGCTTTTCGTACATCGGATGACATGATTCCTTCTGACAGCTATGCAAGTTATGGCGGCTCCCAGGTATAACATATGTCATGCTGTACTCTTTATCATGCCTGTTGATAGCTTATTATCAGAATTTTTCATTCCGTAATCAACTAAAACTTCCTCTAGGCACTTGGAGGAGGTTATGGGGCTTACAGCGGATACAGTGCCCGCTCCTCTAGTAGTGGGTAAGAATGGCTATACAATGTTTGATTCACCAGTATAGAAATTCAGTTCGGTACAAAGCTGTGTATAGCAACTGTTTGTGTTTTATGTCTTTTTATTTCTAGTTGTGCTCACACAGTTCTTTGTAACTGCTATAACTTCCATCAGGTTATCTGGTCATAGTTCCCTTCACTATGGAAAGCGTCATGGTTATTAGGATTTAGATTGCTTGATAAAGCAGGTATGGTTCTTCACCGTTTCTTGATATGTCAGAATGATTATGTGATTGTGCATTGCCCGCCTTAATGCTTTTTTTGCCTTTTGAACACATTGAACCCAGCTCAGCTATCTGATGGACCTGTTCTTTTCACCTTTGCCCCCCTGCTCCCCTCCCGTACTAAAAACAGCCAAGACATTGAAGTTTGGAGCCTGCTTATTGGAGCCCCTTCCCAAACCAGATGACCAAGAGAGCCCAACCTGGAAGCTTTGCTTAAGAGGACCTATGTGGATGCCATAGACCACCTGATATTCCTCAGACTATACATTACTTATGTCTTCCTCTGGGCCTGTGTTTTTAGCCCTGCCGTAAATGTTCCGAACCTATGTATTGAAAGGTCGCATTTGAGACTGCATGTATTTGCTTGTTTGAAACCTGCTTCTGTTTAGTGTTTTTTGTTGAAATACCTGTTTCCTATGTGCCACCCAAAAAGCCAGGAATATGTTACTCGAAAAAAACACTAGGGAGCTGTTACTTGCCTTTCCACTTAAGATGTGGGTTACTTCCTTCTCAGTGATATGTGTGACTGCCATCCAAAATAAAAGTAACACTAGAACCACATTGCCTTTTTGAAAGTACCATCAGAAACTAGGTATACCAAACTTTGCTCCTGCCTGCCAACATTTCACTGAATTGCACATTGTGCTTTATTCACCTACCCCTGCCACCAAATATAATCAGTTTCACCCCCCTGCCTCAATCTTCAGGGCCTGTTTGGTTTCAATCTAGGCAGCTTTGCCTGGCTCTTCATGCAATCCCAGGCTTTGGATTTTGTGTTCCTGGGGTGTAGATTGCTGCCTGGCAGGCTTTGAACCAAACAAACCCCAAGAGCATTGTTGAACTGAGGTTAGCTAGCTGAACATACATCTGTACTTGCTCGATTACAATGCCATTGCAACGCACAGGCAAGTTTATGTTTAAACTTTAAACCATATTTTTTTTGAATGAGAACATTAAGCCAATTTGAAGTTGGTGATTTAAGTATAAGCTTTCTAATTTAATTGATTATAGATATATGTACTTTGGTGTGAGTAGCTAATATCTGAAACTTTAGGTACCTCGAACTTTTTTTTTAAACTAGCTGGAGGTTTTTTGGTCGTATCGCAATGACCCAAAAATTGGCGATAGAGCATGCTCATGATACTACTGAACCCTTTGACCTGATGCACATGTTCCAATGCTTTAATGGCTAAATGAGTATTGGTGACTGAAGTTCCGATAATGTACTTGGCAACTTGCTATGATGAGGAAACTATATGCCAAAGATTGAATCGTGTGCATGAGGCTGCAGTCGCAAGTTTCTTGCAGGTTCACTGTTCATTTCATGTAGATTTAGAAGGTTCTAAGTTCACCGGGTTTATAGGAGCTTGACCTCCTTCATGTCTGGGAGTCTTAACCAGGAATGTGCAGGAACATGCAAAAGTAACCATGCAAGGTATTGTTTCTGGATGAGATTGAATTAGCCTCTGGAGTTGCACATCATTGTTTAGCTCGTCTATGTGTAGTTCATAACGTCAAAATGTTGTTAGCGGAATGACTGTACTGTTTGTTTATTTAATGTTCTGTCAAGCTGTTCTATGTAAATCCTAACTGTATCGGGTTTTGACCAGCAAATTTATTTTAGATTATGTTTTGGCATAATAAGTTCCATAAGATTTGATTCTGAGATATCGTGAACACTATTCTATTGCAATACCTGGAACAGTTCTCTCTGTTGTTGACCTGGATAGTGTATCGTTGCCCTGTCCGGCATCTCTCGAGTCTAAAGCAGCACCTGAACCTATACAGGTTTCAGGTGCTCCAATGAAAAGATCCTGAATGGCTGAATCTATACAGGTTTCAGGTGCTCCTATGAAAAGATCTGAATTTCATCAGACATGTATTGCCGACAGGATCATTAGCACTATCACTAACACAACGTATGTGCTCTCGGTACGGGCATGCTGTTGCGTGCTGTTTCTTCAGATATGTAAGGTCTCAGCCAGCGAGTCGGAATTCTTGAGTTGGCTTGAAAGTATCATTAAAACACATACCTGAGATCTCAGGAGGAAACCGGAAACCTTTTGGATCATTTCGTAATTTCCAAAGACATGCTGAGCACTCATAATCAAATTTGGGACTTCGAACCCAAGCTTGGCTCAGAATCATTACAGATATATGAATAAGTCACGCGGGCTTTTCAACATTATCGTGTCCATCCTTGCCGTGTGGTTTTGGTGTTGCCGCTGTACGGTGGCGGATGGCCCACCTGCATCTGCAGGATAGGTCCAAGCGTGCTCTAAGAGGAATGGTTTTAATTTATTATAATATACAAATAAACCAATAAAGAAAATCGTTTTATATTTCTCTAATTCACTCTATGGGAGAGAATGGTTTTATCCAAACAAACCAATCATAACAAACAAAACTAGTAACGTGTGATGGTTGACAGTAGTTAGGTCTATGCACGTGTATCTAGTTCAATCCACATGTGTTGGAGTGTAATGGAATGGAACTTAGTTTAATTCCACTTCAATCTACTTCAACACATGTGGATTGAGATAAATACATGCACATCCAAACATGGCCTTAAGTGGATTATGGTGCAGAATTTCATGAGGTGAAGTTGAGCACGTGAGGATCGAAATCATTCAAACAAAAAGAAGAAAAAAGAAAAAGGAAGGAGTTTGTCAAAAGAAAAAGGAAGGAGTCTGTCGGGGTCTAGGTCAGGGTTTTGGGGTTAGGAATTACCTATGCTACAGTCAGAATAGGAGATTAGGAGTTCAGGGGAGGCTGTTGGCCTAACGATGGTGATGGTTTGTGGGTGGGACGGCGAGGCGGCGTCCACCGTGGTGGAGGACGGAGCAATATACATGAAGGTGCCGGTTTGCATTGGTCATGCTTACCACGGCGGCTCCGTTTTTTTTCTTTTCTTTTTAGTTGAAAAGGATAAGGGGGAGTGGATGTCAGGGAGAACCGGGATGGGGTCTCCACCGATCCCTTATTGGGAGAGCCCTCACCTTCTAGGCGCACCCTTTTATAGACAAGTCGAGGCAACTTAGTAGCTCGAAGTATTTGTAGTAAGCACAAGTATACAGACCACATCTCTCTAGGTAGTTATGAATGGCGGAATGGACCAACCTGGTGAGCCATTGGGATCCAGTGAGGGTTGACGGAGGCCGAAGTTATTGGGTGCGTCGTGCTCCTCCCCTCTGAACACATTTAGGCTCCCAATTTAGTGATTTGGTTTTTTTGGTAATTAATGAATACAAGTGTTGTGGTTAACGGTATTCATATTTGAGAAAGTCACGAGTTCACTGGACACAAGTGTCTTGCCTCAAAGAGTTGGATTGATGTTTGGACTATAGCGCAAAAGGATATTTGTGAAGACTAAGGACACAATAGAGTGAATATAAGCTTAGTGCTTGAAGACATTTGATGTAGTGTGTATTAGGGTTTTGGTTTTCCTTGGGCTATACTATTAAATGTGAATTCAAGGCATTCATCTTGAAGGAGTCTGAGCGAGAGCATTTGGATGCAAGAGGTTAATTCTCAGTCAAAATTATGGTAGTAATGGTCCAATTGAAGTGGTTCTTGTGCTCTTTGGTTAGTGGAGGTGTTGCTTGGTGGTTGCTGTTGGAGCAGATGTGATCGCTGTATCTTTGCATGCTCTTGACCCGTGCCGAAGTAGCTTGTTGTGCTGCAGTGCTCGAAGCTCTAGGCTGACTGGTTCATTTCTTGTTGAGGGCTTTGGTCATACCGGTCGTGCTTGGCTCGTGGTAGCCTTTGGCTTGCTTTCATCCTAGGTGTTGTCGGTCGCTACTCCTTCAAGTTTACCTTTCTCTGTGTTACTGTTATGTTGTTTGGCTCATTTGGCCGCTGTAAAACTCTATTCTTTTAAACTGAAATACGTGCTCAGCACGTTGTTAAGAAAAAAGCAAATGGAGCTTTGCCAATACTTTGAAAACTAAGTTGTGAAAGAATCTCAGTCAAAAAAGGAAATGTTTGAACATTGGGCAAAGGCCTATTAGCTCGGTTTGAGCATCCTGCTAATAACACGAAGGTCGTAGGTTCGAGACCTGCATGGGCCATGTTTTGTCTTTTAAACTGCACCCTTATCCCTGGGGTCTATGTTTTGTCAAATTATTTATGCTGATTTTTTTTGGGAAGTTATGCTGCTTTTTAGATTCTCTACAACAATGAATACCCATTTCGAATCAGCACACGTACGGCCATCAAACTGATACACAACTGAATGACTAGTATATATGGCCAGCACGGTAATGGTGAGTGCATGCACTCTGGCTGTCTTCAACGTGAGACCCATTGCGGAACCTAAATCTAAAATAGGTCTATAACACAATGCCTATATTCTCTAATAGAGTACCTATATAGAAGACACATTTTGGGTGCCGGGAGAGGCATAAGGCTTGTTCGACAGGACTGAAAAATACTGTTCTGGCTGATTGTTGTCAGAGAAAAATACTGTTCTGGCAGGACGTGAATAGTGATTTCGTGAGTTGGCTGGCCAACCAGCCAGCCAGCTTAAAGCCAGCCGAACACGCCCATAACCTAAATCTGAGTATCCTCTGTCCTGGAGACTCATTTGCAGAAAGTGTTGTCTTTTAGGTCTTGTTGTTGGAGAAGAACAAAAATATGTATTGAACACTTTGCCTGTAGCGCTACCCAAAGGATGAATGAGTCTTGTATTTTGGGTCACGGTTGTTGAAGACAGTCTCATAACGTACAAACACCCGGGTGGGTGGGTGGGGGGACTGGTTTAGCCTTTTTAATTCATCCTTTGGTTGCTTAGTTTTGGGGCGACAAACAATAAATCACGTTGTTTGCATCAAACATTTCTACCTTAATTACAAAGATGCACAAGTCTTTTGCGTATTTGAGAAAAAAAATAGTGGATTGAGAAATTAATTAATATAGATCTATTTCATGTGAAGAATCAA